ATGAGTAAATTATATTCTTTTTGATGTTTGATAAGAAGAAAAACAAATGCAATCCAACAATTTAATTTAATTGAAATTCACTCTCTCGTTCATTTTCTATGTATCTGGAATTCATTGGATTTAGACAAATTCAAAATACACTGCTTTATGTAAAATGATGCCGCAGCTCGAAAGTTGTCAGCCACCGCCCTGCTGCGATGACCGTCACTCAGCCGCCATCGCCGTTACCACAACCCGTTGCTTAATGTCAGTCGCCAAACTGCCACCCGCTTGTCCCCTGTCGCCAACCAAAGTGGCGGTGGCAACTAATTGAAGTCTGACCAGGTGTATTTTACATCGAATTTATTTTACTTCAAACTAAACAAAAAAAAAAAGATGGAAGTCCTATATTTATTTTGCAATGAACCAAATATCATTCTCACGGGTTTCAAACAACTGCATTCCTTTCTCAACAAATCAAACAACTCCTCACTATAAAGAATGATAAGGATTATAGTAACATGATGGCGAGGTGGCGACAGTGAAGGCAGCAGTTGGCTTTGGCAACCAACATCATTATTAGTGGTTTTGGCAACAGACCGTGCACGGCCGCAAGGGATGTTGGTGCGAGCCGATTGAAGTTAGCTCAAGTTATAGCCAATACAAGCAAATTCATATTCAACAATTAGTTAAAAACGACTCAAAACTAAATGACTTTGCTAAACTAATTGTGTGCGACAGTTGGATACTGGGGCATCTATAGTGGAGATCTTATTACTCAACATTGTAGCATTCTATCTTAGATGTTATTTTGCTTCAATGCTTGAACTTGCCCAAATATCATAAAAATAATAATTTTTAACTACCAGGCACGAGTATCAAAGCAAATTCTAGGACAGTTTCACTCGACAGGCTTTATTCTATGGAGTTTTGAGCCTGATAATATCATTAAGCTATGTTATAAACCTTATATAAATGTTATGTAGCATTTTATATCATAATAATAAAATGGAATAGAGAATGTGTTGACAGCCTTAACATATGATTGAAATTTCTCTATCACATATGAATAGCAAAGTAACAAGAGGCCCATAAGAGTGTTGATTTTCTTCGTGGAAATACTTTCGGGGTGTGCCGTAGCATACTTCTAATATTATTCAATCATGAATTTAACTTAAATCCAATCCAACATAACAAAATAAAAATTAAATCCAATGCTCCGTTAAATCGAATTTTTTCGCATTCCGACTCTTTTACGACATAAATCCAGAATGAACAAATCCGATTGCAATGCAAATTAAAGATTTACTTGGCCATCGCTCGCGAGCTCCTTCTCTATTGCATAGATTTATTGGATTTATTGAATTTGATAAATCCTATTTAATGTAAATTCAGGTTGCAGCCAAAAACCGCCCAAGGGATAAAACAATACAATTGGATTCAATTAAAAATAACCTACCAATACAAGTCTTAGATTAAAAATGATTTTCTTCTCCACAATCGAGGAAGCCATTAATAAAAGAAATCAAATAATTGTGGCGATAACCGACGGACTGTGTTGGGAGTGAAATGCTAATGTTATTAGTTCCGACGAGCGTTGGTGTTATTGGTGATGAATGATGATGGACATTAACCTTAGTAATGACGATGAGCATTAAATTTGATAGTAGGACCAGTATCAATCTTAGTGAGGCCAACAAGCTATTCTTTCTTGTTGGCAAAAACGAAAGTTAGAAATCTAAATTTCAGACATCGAATCTTTCTTGTTGCCTCATCACAACCTCTTTAGATTTATGAAAGTGAGATATAGTAATAAATTTCTTGGGAGATATTCCAGTCATTTCATTAGAAATCAAAACACTTCATCAGATAATCTATTTAAACGCTCCTATAATCATACATTCTTTAGATCTCGTATGCATTAATGATATCATATTTCAGTGATATTATGCTCATCATATTCGTCTCATAAGGACACTTCTTTCAATTATAAAAACGAAATAAAAAGAGCTCAAGTAAATCCTCAATCAGCTCGAAAAACTCTCACTCATAACAAAGGCACTTTATAATCTAAAAATTGCCTTAAAATTCATAATTGCTGACTCTACCGTAGGAAAAAAGTGGTACCTTAATTCATGTTATTTTCATTATGAAGTAATTTGAAAATATCAATGGTCAAACTTAAAAAAAATCTGAAGCTGAACAACCTAAACCGAGTTCTATTTATCTCATCAGCTGGAATTTGATGGCTTAAAAATAGTTAAGAAAAAAAAATTGTTATCATGGCTACATAAAAATGAAGAAAATATGCGCACAAAAATATAATGAGAACTAAACCAAAAAAAGGCCAAGTTCTACCTTCAGCCAGTACGGAGCTAGAAAAAGTTGATCCTAATTGTGTAAGGCTTTTGTGCAAAGCACTCCTTGAAAAAAAAAAGTTACGCCGAGACACAAGCTCTTGCCAAAACACAAATCAACTACCCTTAAGTCAAAATTTTTTGAACGAGCAACGATCTCCATCACTGCCAGAAAGCAGAACACGTGTTGTCAATTCTGAAGGCATAAAGACGATAAGTTTTAATAAAAAAGGGCTATCAATTAAATCAAATTAAAATATAAACGATCTTTTAGCAAAAAAATTGAAAAAAGAAACATGTAAGGATTACCTCCATAGAAGCCACGGAGTTATCATCCTCTCCCTCAAGAAAACAAATTCCCCTTTCTCCAATAATGAATATTTCTAAATTTTGTGTGAAATATTTCAGAGCAATATATTTCCACATAAATGGATGAGAAATCTCCGCTCGTGGTCATGCAAGAGGGCCGTTGTTCTACGGATGCTCAGTTAATGATTCACACCAGAAGCCACGTTCTTTAAAAAAGAATCCAACATCAAAAAGGGCACAAACATAAGAAAGATTTACATACATACCGCTCAATTCCTAAGCAATTATATATCTAAAACCTAAATTACAATTTTTACATAGATATATATATATATATATATATATATATATTGGTATAAATGTAAAAAATCAAAGTACGGGTGTTAGATATGTAAATCTATAAGAATTGGGTGGTATGCATGAAAATGCTCCAAAAAAATAACAGGAATCGGCATCTAATTGAGAGGAACAATCATACCGAGTCCAAATTTGCTTCCTTAGGTAAAACCAAAGCAATTAGGGATTCAGAGGGCTGAGGTGCAATCCCTAACATTGAGCAGAAATCTAGAGAGTGAGGGAGGATAAAAAGCAATCTTGCCCACATTGACTTCACAGCAGTTTTTATCACTCCAGCACATTCTCTTTGGTTCAAGTATGATATAAAATCATTAAACTGCACCGCAAGATAACATAGTTAATTTAGAGGTGAAGGATTTTTCTAGGTTAATTCACAAGTAACACAATTAATGAAGAAGGCAAAGCGACTGTTATTGTATATAATATTCATAAACCAAAAGACATATTCTTTGAGGGCTTACTATGTCAGACACAATATAGAAAAAAGAGGCATTTGCATAGATAACCACCCAATTCTTGTGTTTTTACATATATATAGCATCTAAACTTTGCCTTTTATATTTATAACACCCAAATATTTTATATCAAATAAAAAATAACACTATTTGAACTTCGAAAAAGTGAAATACACCTTTTCATGCACAAGTAAGATGGCATATATTTAAAAATTGAAGTTTAGGTGTAAGATATATAAATACATAAGAATTGAGTGGTATGCATGTAGATCTTCCAAAAAAAAATTGTTATTATCATGCTTGAAGTTTAAACAATCTGCTATGATATATGAAAATAGTTAAATATTGATAAAAATGCAAAGAACACAAACTAACACAATCTCCAGCCAGATTTTCATTTTACAAAAGGTGGAAATAAGTTGCCGGATACAAGAAAATGTTGAGTATTGTGGAGCCCGGTCCACTACATCCAAATTGGGCGGATTTTGCATCTATGGAATGTATCTTGATGTATTAAATTCCTGTGATTTCTTTCCTTGATCAATACCTGGCTCCCGTCTCTCCCGCCAACCCAAAACTCTCCTTTTTTCGCGACAGAAAGCCTCCCACCTCTCCTGTTTTTCGCTGCAGTTGGAATTGAAAAAGGTTCTGCTCTCCTTGTGTTTTCGGTGCTTTTGGCTGTGCCAAAGAAGAGTAGTAAGAAGCAGTAGACGGGCAGAAAGAAGCTTGCGTGCTGCCAAGGAAGTGAAGAAGGAAATCGCAAGATTGGTTTTCCCTACTTCTTCTGCTTTCGGTTCTGCTTACACGAAGAGTATGGAAATGGAAAGGTCTCTACTCCCTTGATAGTTCTTCTTCTCGTGCAGCTTGCAGGTAGGAGAGAACGTGAGAAGAGAGAGAGTGAAAGAAAAAAAAGAGTTTTCAGGTAAAAGTCGAGGTGATTGACGTTGTAATCCTCAAAGTAATAAAATCTTCTCTAGCTCCGTAGACGTTGGCAATTTGCCGAACCACGTAAATTTGTGTATTCTTTTGTTCTTTGTTTTGCTAATTTCTCGTTCAAACTTTTCGCTTTATTGTCATTGTTTTTCACAACAATTGGTATCAGAGTCGTGGTTTAGGTCTTAGGGAAAGCGATAGCCAGAGATGAAGTACAAATATTAAGAATCGAGAAATTTGATGACACAGATTTTGACTGCTCGAAGATACTGATAGAGGACTATTTCTATGGGAAGAAACTTCAACTTCTGCTATTAGGAAAGTGACCGGAAAAGATGGACGAGGCTGAATAGAATTTATTGGATCGACAAGTTCTGGGGGTTATTCGATTAACTTTGTCAAGATCCGTGACATACAACGTCATAAAAAAAAACAACTGCAGATCTCATGACAGTTTGTCAAGTATGTATGAAAATCTTTTAGCGAATAATAAGGAGCATGTGATAAAAAAATTATTCAATTTGAAAATAGCAGACGTTACAGTTGTTGCACATCTGAATGACTTTAATACTATCACAAATTAGTTATCGTCTGTGGAAATTAAATTTGATGATGATACGTGCACTGATATTGTTGATTTTATTGTCAAATAAATGAGAAACCATAAAGATGACTGTTACAATTCTGCAGTTAAATCTTAGCTGAAATATGTAATATTTGTTATTTGATTTAATCTGAGGATATGCGTAGGAAAGATTCTGGCGAGACCTCGGGTTCGAGTTCAACATTGAATGTTGATTCAAGATGAAGATCACAGGACAGGAACTCGAACAAAGGAAAATCAAAATCAAAGCACAAAGGAAAAAACAGGTCAAAGCCTGGTCAGCAAGAAACTTGTCGGAATTGTGGCAAAGTTGGGCAAATAAAAAATAACTGCAAAAATCTTAAGAAGATAGAGAACGTCAGTGATAATATTGTAACTGAAGAAGTGCAGATGCACTATTGCTAGCAATTCTAAGCTTTGGTGATGACTGAATATTGGATTCAGAGGCTTCCTTCCATATGTCTTCCCACCGGGAGTTGATGAGAAATTATGTTGCAGGTGACTTCGAAAAAGTATATCTGGCTGATGCAGAACCTTTGAAAGTGATAGAGATGGGGAACGTTGACATTGCACTCCCTAACAAGAGCAAATAGACTTTACAAAATGTTAGACACATTTATGAGTAGAAGAAAAATCTCATTTTTGTTGGGCAGCTCGATGAGGGTGGTAATTTAGTAGTGTTCTCAGATAGCTCTTGGAAGATTACAAAAGTGGCACTGGTACTGGTTCGGGGCAAGAAAACAGGTACACTATATATAACTACTAATTTAATTAACAGTATCGATGCTACCGCTGCACAGAGCATGACAGATTTATGGCATTGCAGGCTTGGCCACATGAGTCAGAGGGGTTTGTAAAAACTAGTCTAGAGGCAAGCTACCAGAACTTAAGTCAATTGATCTCAGCATCTGTGAGAGTTGCATCATGGAAAAATAGAAGAAAATCTGTTTCTTGAAAAATAGCAGAGCGCCAAAGACAGAAAAATTGAAATTTGTACACACAGATGTGTGGGGACCTACTCTGGTGACATCTCTTGGAGACTCTCGTTACTATGTTCATTGATGACCACAACAGAAATGTATTGATTTACTTCTTGAAGCATAAATTTAATGTATTTAATGTGTTCAAGACTTGGAAGGTCATGGTTGAAATTGAGAGACTTAAAACTGAAAAGTTTGAGGTCTAATAATGGTGGTGAGTATATTGATGGTGGGTTCAAGGAGTATTGTGCAGCTCAGGGAATCAGAATGAAGAAAACGATTCCGAGGACACCACAACAAAATGAAATTACAGAACGTATGAATAAGATCATTAATGAGTGAGCTAGAAGCATGAGATTACACACTGGACTACCACCAGCTTTCTGGGCAAATGCGGTCAACATTACAGTTTACTTGATCAACAAAGGGTCATCCGTTCCATTAGACTGTAAATTGTCTGAGTAAGTCTGGAGTGGGAAATAGATTAAATTTTCTCACCTTAAGACTTTTGATTGTTTTTCTTTTGTTCTTATTAATCCTGAGGTTTGTAGCAAGTTCGATGCTAAGTCAAAAAAATATTATTTTATTGGCTATTGAGACGAAGCATTTGGTTATCGTTTTTGGGATAAACATGATCGGTAAGAAGCGGAAATGTGATTTTTAATGAGAATATCATGTACAAGGACAAGTCTGGTATAGTTTCTGAAGTGTCTCCTCAAAAATCCGAGATGGTAATGTTTGATGATCTACCAGAGGTCACAGTGCAGGGCAGTGATGGAAGTGACGAGGAGAGTGAGTTCGGGGCACCCATTCATATTGCTCCGCAAACGGTTTCAGAGTCATCCACCCCTACAGCCACAGTTCGCATGTCAGTCAGGAATAGACGTTCTCAGCGTTATTCACCAAACTTGAACTACCTTCTGCTAACAGATAGTGGAGAATCACAGAGTTATTAAGAAACATTGCAATATGAAAATTCAAGCAAGTGAAAACTAAACATAAAAGAAGAAATGAATTTTCTGTAAGAAAATCATACATGGAAGCCGACAGAACTTTCACCTGGGAAGAATGCAGGTGAAAATTGAACATGATGACAGTAAGAGGTACAATACTAGATTTGTTGTAAAAGACTTTCAACAGAGACAAAGTATTGATTATTTTGAGATTTTTTTCTCCTGTGGTGTAGCTTGCAACCATAAGAATGATACTGTCTATAGTGGCTACCGAAAACTAATTCCTTGAGCAGTTAGATATGAAGACAGCCTTTTCTTCGTGAGGATCTTGAAGAAGACATCTACATGCACCAACCTAAGGAGTTTGTGGTACAGGGAAAGGAAGATTTAGTTTACAGACCGAAGAAAAGTTTGGATGGCTTGAAGCAAGCTCCAAGACAATGGTACATGAAATTTGATAATTTCATGCACAACGTAGAGTACACCATATATCAGGTAGATCATTGTTGCTATGTCAAACATTTTGATAATTTTTACATTATTCTACTATTGTACGTGGGGGACATGCTTATTAAGTATTGATGAGATCAATAATCTGAAGAAGCATATGTCAGAGCACTTTGCACACTTTGCAATGAAGGATTTGAGAGCTACAAAGCAAATCTTTGACATGAAAATTGTCAGAAACAGAATGAGAGGCGCGTAGAGGCTTTCATAAGCAAAGCATGTGAAAAAGGTACTCAGCAGGTTCAACATGGAGATAAGGCCAAAACAATTGGCACACCTCTAAGCAGTCACTTCAAACTTAGCAAGAATCGGTCACCCAAGTAGATGAGGAACGAGACCACATGAATATGGTTCCTTACGCTTCAGCTATTGATTTACTTGTGTATATTATGGTTTGCACAGAACCGAATATTGCCCATGTCGTGCGAGTTGTGAGTAGATACTTGAATAACCCGAGAAAGAAACATTGGGAAGCTGCAAAGATGATTTTGAGGTATCTAAAAGACACTTCAGACACCAGTTTGTGTTTCTCAAGAAAGATTTTAGAAGTATTGGGCTACGATGATGCTGATCTAGCTGAAGAAATTGATAGCAGGATTACTACAAGTTATGTCTATACTCTTGATTGCATTATTGCATTGCAGTATCATGTAGCTTTAACCTACTGAAAATCGCTTTTTTTTTTCTACTACAGAAGTTAAGTATGTTGCAGTACAGAGGCTACAAATAAGATGATATGGCTATAAAGCTTCTTGGAGGAATTTAGTCAGAATAATCAGATTGACACTCTCTACAGTAATAGTCAGAGCGTCATATTCCTTGTTAAGAACCCAACATTTCAATCCAGGACCAAGAACATTCAGATCAGGTATCACTTCATAAAA